TCTACATGTGGGGTTAAATCTGATCTAAATAATTCTTGTCATTTCATGTTTCATGTTTTATCCTAATAAATCAAAGATAAAGTCAGCACCATGAATGAAAACTACCTTCACTACAGCCCTTTTATAGTCATTGACCAATGGAAATCTGTTTCTACCTATAGGATAACAGGTTACAACCTTGTAACTTTGGCAACTGTTGGTGGGCCAAATCAAATGGCTCGGCGGGCCAAATTTGGCCCGCGGGCCCCACTTTGGGCTCCTCTGATTTATTTAGTCTCTAAAATGAGAAATTTAATCTTGACAAACATTTATTTTACTTCAAAAGTAAACTTTAGCCATTTTTATGAAGGTAGATTTTTTTTCTGCAAATTTCAAATGTAAAATTATGTGGTAATGTTTTTTTTTTATTATGAATATTGCTTTTAAATTAACATCAAATTTCTCTTTTTGAGTTTTAAAATTGATAGTAAATCAAGTAAATTACCAAACACTAAAATTAGCTTTTCATCAGAGTGATAAAATTAACAGAATCTTAGCTAAAAATAAACAAATTAGTTGGTAAAAGTAACATTAGCCAAACAGTAGCAAAACAAAAAAGAAGCTAAAAACCTAAATTGAAACATAAAATTAGCAAAATCGCAGCTAAATGTATCTAAACCATAGCAAAACATAGCCAAATAATACAAAAAGCTACAATTAGCAAAACCATAACAGCTAACTATAGCAAAACAGTTTCAATAAGCTAAATGCAAGGAACCAATGCAAACGCCTAAAATGAGCAAAACCATAGCTAGAAATAGGAAAATAATAACTAAGAGCTAACTGTAGTAAAACTGTGGCTAACACCTAAAATTAATAGATTTTAGGTGTTAGCCACATCAGAGGGTGACACAGATCTTAGCTAAAGATAGCAAAACAAATGTAAACAATCTGTCCTGATGCATCTCAGTACACTCTCAATACCCTCAGCAAGGACAAGAACATCATCATTCTTCCAGCAGACAAAGGAAGGTGCACAGTTATTCTGAACCAGAAGGACTATGA